TCTTCTGTTATTCATTATCAGAATAAAATTGAAATGATAAACAGTCTTGTTCATAATATATATGTGAATAAGTTATTATTCTATTTAGTATTGTTTGTTTTGATCTTCCCATTGATGTTTAGGACTGCAACTGGTCAGTCTCTTATTGGCATATATGCATACTGTGTGTATTGCCTCAAAATAGCCTTAATTCACAAGCATTGTAAGCAAAGATGGATAGTGGCTAGCAGCGGAATCCAGGACATGCATTTTATCTTATTTGGGACTCGTCAGGTGGATGTACATGCATCTCAGAGTTGATGTTTACTCTGGGACTCGAACCTTGTACCTTTTGCTTCAAACGCCATCGCGTTAACCAGATAGGATGAAATGCGCATCCTGGATTCCACTGCTAGCCACTACGCATCTTTGCTTACCAAGCTATTATTCTATTTACTTATTCAATATACTACTAGCTTTTAATAACATAAAGTAGTCATTTTACTATACACCATTACTATTAATAGTAGTAGTTATTATAGTTGTATCTTTTAACTATTTTCATGATTGATTGAAATTCTTTGTTGTGAAACAAAATGGCTTATAATAAATCAATTTAATTTAGAATAATGATTGATGAAATGTTGATTATATGAAGTTGGTGGGAACAAAGAAGTAAATCAACCATGATAAATAATGTAAGGTACTTTTAGGGGCATTATTTCACTTAATTCAAAGTTTGTAAAATACTCATATTTATTTTCATAGTTGAAATTATGAGTCAATTGAAGCTAGACCATCATGGAAAACCTGGAAGCCCTGGACGACCGTTTCGTCCTATTATCGGACTCCTCAGTAGTGCGCATCCACGATCCCGCGCCCGTGAGATTCGAACCCAGGACCTACCAGTCTCGAGCCAGAACACTTAAACGACAGACCACTGAGCTAGCCTCCATCCAACGGTGTTAATGTCTAACTTCAACCAACTTATATTTAGTTTGGTCCATAGTTTATAAAATAAACCATAAGATTTCGTTTGATGCATGATTCATTGCCATACCCTTTTTTGGTCAAAAGGTATTGAAGTTTAAACGTAACCTTTTATACTCTATTTGTCTACTTCAATGCCTAGTTCGGATATAATTGTATTTTTCTAATTGTTTGTTCATTGTTATGTTGTAAGTAATCTATACATTTAAACCTCTTCTTACATTATTCAGAATTGGGAATCAGGAATAAATCGAGTAGTGTTCCAAATGACTAGTCTTCTCTTTATCTCTTTCTCTCGCTTGTCAACCAATCAGGTGACATAATAGTTTACGTCTCTCTGACCAAAGTCATTAGTCTTAATTTGAAGTCACGCATTCGTAGCTTCAAGGATTTAACCAAGATCGAGACATATTCTCTCCTGCATATTCTTATGTAAACCGATTAAGGACATAAAAGAAGCTTTTTTTCTGCGTAAGAAATTAAAACATCAAATATCAGTGCATATAAAATGGATTGCTTTAATCTCACAATCTTGATAATTTTATATATTCCTATAATCTTTGTTATATCCTAGCAAAGACATGAGTACAGGTAACTTCCGGGACCTAATAATGGACGATTATATATATATATATATATATATATATATATATATATATATATATATATATATTGTTTAACTAATGAGTAATTAGATTACGTACATCTATATTCATCTTATTATAAGCTTCATTTTGACTTATGGATTATTACTGTACAATATACTGTACCCTAAATTATATTCAGTTTATTAATCATTGTCTCTCACGTTCACAGCCACATTTGGTTTGATCTTGTACAAATATTATTTTCCACTTTTATGTTGTGATGCAGTCTGTCTGTCTGGTATATAAACTGAGTATGCTTGAAATAAATAATTCGCATAGATTCGTATAGCAGAAGCTGAAATCGGTGTTCTGGACTCAATTGGAAGAGCTAAGCAGACAAGGGACCATTAAGGACGCCAGACTGCTCACACCAGTTAAACGTCATTGATTTGGCACAGTGTTAAGAATGGAAAAGTCGTATTCCGATTAGTGGATAACTTATGTGATAAAAGCCGGACATAAAATCAAAACAAATTGGATACAGTCTTGTTCTTTTTTTAAAAATTCACAACAATCTTAGAATATGAAGAGTAAGAAAATAATAATAAGTACTTGTGAATAAATTGATTTGTTTATATTTGACTTTTTCAAAAACTGAATGGAAGGATTGCATAGTGATTATCAAATCTAACTTCAATAAACCGGGAACCATTGTTTCTCTCCTCTCTCCCCCTCTCTCTTACACACACACACATACATACTAAACAAAGTGATGCTGAGATGGGAATATATGAATTTGTGTTTAAGTTTTAAAAAGGAATCAGTGATTGTTCCCAGGGCTAATCACTATTATTTATAGTTTTATTTCAATTTTTTTTTAGAAAATAATTTATTCGGATCCGTTAATGAGTACTGTTTTTCAATAACATTGTCGCCACAAGTTTATTACCTTACAAGTTTGATTTATTTCTAAAAAAATTTTTATTGCATTGAGTTATTAGTAGAAAAATCATAAAAAACAACGAAGAACTTGATGTGTGGGAGAGAATGATAACGAGATTGGTGAGTCAGACATTTAGATCATGTGACAGGTGTTATATGTGTTATATATATTCCCCTATCCCTATTATGTATGGATGGACTGTTTTTTTTCTTGTTGTTGGATTGTGTCGGATTTCGGGGGTGAAAATATCTTGACGTTCTAGTCAGGCTAATCTCATGTTCTTGATCTGAGTTGTGTTGAAATCCTGTAGAATAGACACTGGGTGGGTGTAGATATTCGTCTAAGGTAAATTGACGTCCCACATACGTGTGAAAAGTAAAAGGACTATTATAACAAGAAACCTTAGCGTTATAACAAGTATCCTAACGTTTATAACAGAACCGGAAAGATCTAGCGAAATATTTAAGGGAAAAACAACGTAGGCATAACACAAGATCAAACCTAAGATTTTCATGTTTCACAGAAAGCGTAACACTTTAAGAATACGAAATTATAAGTCGATCTTGTTCATGGTTCTTTTTCTTTAATTCCAGACAGCCTATAATTTGTTGAATTCATACAGAATGTGACAAATTTTTAATTTCGATTATTTGCGTGAATAATCAGGTCATTGAAAATACAATGTACACTCAAATGTAATAATCATTCAGTGATGGTCTACATGATTGGAACAATTAAAATATGTAATAGACATAACGTTTATGTGTAAGTTTATATGTTGAATTTCACAATGATTAATAATACCTCCAAGCCTACTAATGAAAATTTCTGATGGATTCTGTTGCATATAAAACCTAGACGAAGGATCTACCAGGGATGTTTCTCATGTTTTCAAACATTTAAACTATATTTAACAACAATGTACTATAGAACATTGTTTTCCTAGCTTTAAAATGTTGATTTATGTCATGTAGAACAAACGAGTAACCAAAACGTTTACAACGTATATAATTTATTTATTACAATTATAATTCATATATATGACATTGGATGCATTAGGAATCCTCGTTTTCTGTAAGACTCGTTTTAATTGAGGAAACAATGTATTGATGTCTACTACCCTCAATCTTCCTTGTCACAGAAGAAGTACTAATGAAAACGATTGGACAAAAATTAAAGAAGCACTAACTTCAACGTGTCAGGAGGTACCGAGTCACAAGAAGCACCATCATATAGAGTAAACCACCATCGATAAGCTGGCCAAGATTCAATAAAGGAAGAACAAGAAGACAGCAATCAACAGCAGTCGAACTAGGGCAAAGACATTTAAGGTACACGCCGACTAAACAGAAGCAAACAAGAGGGTGGAGAGTAGCATTGAAGCCGAGAAGCGGAAATACGTAGAAGACCTAACAATGAAAGCGAAGGCTGCAAGAGAAGAATATATGAGACAGATATATGATATGACAAAGAAATCAACAGAAAAATACGACAAACCAGAGGGGCTAGTCAGTAACAAAGAAGGCAAGCCAATCACTGAGGTTCAAGAACAGCTGAACAGGTGAGTAGAGCATCATCAAGAACTTTTGAACAGACCAGTCCCACTGGACCCATCGGACATCAAGGCAGCATACATAGACCTTCCTACAGATGTCGCTCCACCAAAGATAGAAGAAAACAGGATGGCCATCAGACAAGTCAAGAGTGGTAAGCAGCTAGACTAGACAACATACCATCTGAACCTACGAGGTTAGATAAAGAAGTTAACCTACAGACACTCCGATTTCTATATTGGAAGATTTGGGAGGAAGAACAAGTGCTGACGAACTGGAAAGAAGGATATCTCACCAATGTACCAAAAATAGGAGATTTGAGCTGTTATGAGGAAAACGTAAACACCACACTGCAATCCATACCAATAAACGTTTTCCACAGTGTTGTTGAACCGGATGAAAGATTAAGTAGATGGCCAACCTCTAAATCAGTAGACTGTATTCCGTAAGGATAGGTGGTGTACCGAATATATCGCCACACTATGGATTATTGTTCACCAGAGAACAAACCAGCTTTCAGATGAATTAGAAATTAATAAAAGACGCCAGAAGTGTATAAGGCACACATTGAGGAAATCTCCAAAATGTATCACAAATCAAGCCCTAAATTGGAATTCTGAAGGCCAAAGGAAAAGAGGCAAACCAGAGATCATGTGAGAAAGGGAATTGAAGGCAGAAATTAAAAGAATGAATAGCAATCGGTAACAACTAGAAAGGAAAGTCAAGGACAGAGTTAGGTGATTCATGCTCCTCCATAAGTGTTAACGGGCATAAATAAACAAGTCAGTAAACGATTGAAGTGAACGTTATTGGGATCGTGTCACATAGTGGACGTCAACTCTTGGACCTCGAACATTCAGCTGACGAGTCCTAAATGGAACGAAACCTACTTTGTGGATTTCAATGCTAGGTACATTTCACCTATGTTAAAGATAATTTTCAACTTACCAATAAGTGTTGTAACAGGATGTGCATTGTGGGGACAATGATTTGTTCGATTCATTCGAAATTCATTATCATTAGTCAGAATTGCTTGTTTACTGCTCATATCATTTTTTCTTAGTAAAAAACAATCACAAGATTCTCCTTCTGAACATATTCTTTCTGATAACGTGGACAATACAGGATGACAATGTGGAGGTTTAGGTGGTTGTGAATATGATGACAATGATGTTTCTATTGATGCTATTGGAGAAAGAATTGGAAATGTTTGTTGTTCCTGACATTGTGGATATGGTAACTGAACATATGTTACACCTGTATCGCATATAATTCTACCAGTCATTGAAGGTGAACAGGAAGTTAAAGATGATGATGACGTCAAATATGATATGTTTAGTGAAGTTTGATTACATAAAGAAGAGCAAATAGGTATTGTTGTAATGTGTTTATTCATAGATGATATCATTTGATTCCTTTCAAATTTATCATTATCAATGTTACTAAAAGGGTAATTAAATTTGACTTGATTTAATAAAGAATCATTAATGTTACTACTAGAAAAATCACTTTGTAATCTTTTGGGATGATCAAAACTTGAATCCTTTAATTCTTTTGGTATTGTTACTGTTATTGGTGCAACTGATGATGAGGCAAATGACGTTTTCTTGCGAAAATTGACAATTAACTATGAAGTAGAAGATAAAACAATAAATGAAAAGCGTTATTGTGAAAGAAAAGTGAATTTGGACAGAAAGAAAACAAACTTAGTAAAAAATGTTTTTTAACAGAATAAACAATTTACCTTATAAGTAAAAGTATTCTGTTCACCAATTGTCTTCAGTGAGTTGTTATCTCACAACAGACGTGGTTGAACTCCACTGGTCATTGCTTCGCACTAGAACTCCAGGACATGTATCTTGAAGTCAGTCACTAGTGAGCGTATGATTATAATTAGAAGGGGTTTTGTGGACTGGTAGGTCCTGGGTTCGAATCTCACTCACGAGGCATGAATTGTGGATGCGCACTGCTGAGTCCCACAGTAGGAAGAAACAGCCGTCCAGTGCTTCCAGGTTTTCCATGGTGGTCTAGCTTCAATTGACTGATGATTTCAACTATTAGAAATACTAAACTTTCCACAAAACCCATTCTGATTATAATCATACGCTCACTAGTGACTGACTTTAAGATACATTTCCTGGAGTTCTAGTGGGAAGCAGTGACCAATAAAAGTATTCTATTAGTCAGTCAATTAGCTATTGCTTATGTTGAGTCTGGTATAGACGTGCATTTCTTTGAGTTACCATACCATAACTACCACGACGAAACGAAGTTAACAAGATGAAGTGATGTTGAGATTGAAATTATGTAGTGGGAATGACATAGAAAATGACTAAACAGTCCCAATATATTCAACTTAGTATTGTTTGTTTGAATCTTCCCATCGATTTGTTAGAACTGCAATATAATTAGAGAAAGTAGAATGGAATGGTGGAAATGAGAAAATTCAAGGCCGAGAGAAAGACAAGAACTGAATGAATGTAATCTGGTATGAATGAATCTGAGCCATGTTATTTAACACTTTTAAATACTAGCTACTAAATTAGTGAAGAATTCAACCGTGTAGCTTCATCCAACAGTAGACGACTTCGTGAATGGTGCCACTTTTTGGTTTGTTATTAATGATAAATATATATGCTACTGCGAACAACGCTTTATTCAGTGTGCAGTAATTGAAATCATGTTAGTCAAGCGCTGAATTTCAATCGAACTCCCAAAATCAAGCTTCACTCAGCAAATGAGTTTAAATAATTCGACCCAGTTAGCAATACTGAAGACAAACGTGACAGTGATTACTGACAAAAGTGATCAAACAGTGTAAACTATCAGTCCTAAAGTTATTCATATAAGTCAGAACAGATGTTTTGATTATAAACAAATTTTTAAAAAGTCCATAAACCGCTAACATAGATAGTTCAGAAGAGCTCTATTATATACTTCGATTTTTATAACTACAGTAAAGTTAAGATTGAAATCTGTTTCTTCAATTCGCATTTTGTTGATTATCTTTCTCATTGCAACTTAATATGAAATGGGATAACTGAGGTCGATACACAATCATCCAAGATCGTATAATGTAATCTTTTTTTAGGTGACATAGCTTAAAATCGTCCGTAATGGCACAAATTCATTTATTCTTTACCTTATTTTCAATATTTAATTGAAGTATCCCTTTATATGTGTTGCTTCCACTCAATCTCTTTTTAAGACATTCTCAATGTTCATTTGTTATCATTATGATTGCAATTCATATTGTCATGACATCTGTCCCAAGATCTAAATTGATGATAACTAACTAATAAACTGACTAACAATAACTAAAGAGACTAAGAAAAAAGTCATTACAAACTACTTAAATAAAACTATAATCATTCGGTCTATGAAATAGGCTGGTTAGTAAACGTAAGCATACGAATATATGATTTACAAAATTGTATAACATAACATTTGACATAACTATTTGACAGATTTCAAGTAAGAAAAACATTGTCATAAGTAAATAACTGACCAAAATTTTCATTAGTTGATATGTACTACTGAGAATTTAAAGATACTTATTGTAGAATATACACTGAAGAAGAAATAAGGAGCTATTATTATTGGTATTACTATTATAATTAGTAGTAGTATTAGTTTTGTTCTCTGATCTGGATGGTTTAGTCGTGAAGATTTCATCATTCTTCTCAACGACATCATCAGCACAAACCTCAGGTAGAACTGAAGTGTTCGAATTTCTCCACATGTGGTTCACAGTTTGCTCTATACACCTCGATGTTGATTGGTTCTTATTGACCTTAAATCTGTCATTGTTTATCTCTTTGTTTTCGTTGTATCTCCCATTGGCTTGATTTTTTTTTCTATATTTCTGAATAATTTTCCTGATTGGTTGATGAATTGGATTGTTTTCAATATGCTTGTTCATTGCTGTTTGACCTGAGTGCCAAGCTTCTAAAAATTCTCCGTAGTTTTTTGAAATTGCCTCTATCCAAAATCTCCACATTTTTCCAGTCGAATATGTGTCCACAGATGTCCATGTGTATTGATATAAGTGAAGATATTTCATGGTGTTTGATTGGTGGTTGATGTTCATGCAGGCGAAGATGAAGAGGTCAACAAGAACCAACCAACATCAAAGTGTACACAACAAACTGTAAACAACATGTGGAGAAACTCGAACACTTCATTTCTATCCGAAATTTGTGCTGATGATGTCGTTCAGAAGAACGATAAAAAGCTCTATGACTAAACCATTCAGCTAACAGAACAAAACTCCATCAAAATCATTCACCATGGTATTAATCTAGTGAACAAAACATGGTGGGGACAATGGAAATGTAGCAAAACATTGCAGAATATCCCATTAAAATATGAGAACCATATAGTGGACAGTTTATTTGCAAACTATCAATCTTAACTGTTCCTTCTACAAATATCCATCCATAGCCTCCGATTATAATTGTTCATACATTTTCATACCAATTACAAGCTGTTCCCTTTCTCTCCTTATCGATCTTCTATTGAAATACATTCAATGCTCGACTATCACCATATACTACTTATGTGGATATCAGTAATCTACACCATAGTATTAGTATTATTGTTACTATTATTATTATTAGTAGTAGTATTGGCTTTAATATTATTATTATTAATAATAATAATAATACTTGGCAATAATTCTAAAATATTTATCTATATATTTAAACAATATTTATTTAACCAGTTATTTACTTAATTTCAAATACTGAAAACAATTTAACATAATGTAAATATAATTCTGATATTATTTCTTTTTTTTTTGTTGTTGATTGTTTGTTTAAAACATACATATAAGTTGAATGTAATAAATAATTGTAACTAGATGGTAATATACATATTGAAGTAGGATATTATGCAAAAATGAATGTATATTAATAGGAATTGCTTAATGAATGTAATATACGATTGTATTAATTATAGAAAGGGGTTTTGTGGAGATTTAGTATTTATTATAGTTGAAAGCGTGAGTCAATTGAAGCTAGACCACCATCGAAAACCTGGAAACACTGGACGGCCGTTTCGTCCATGGTTTTCCATGATGGTCTAGCTTCAATTGACTCACGCTTTCAACTATATACGATTGTAACTAGATGTTAATATATTTTGAAATATTATACAAAAGTGGATGTACATTACTAAGAATTGATTAATTAACAGTCATTAATAGAAACTATTAGTTAGTATAATAATTCATTCAGTATAAACAAAGATGGATAGTGGCTAGTAGTGGAATCCAGGACGCGCGTTTCGTCCTATTTAGGACTCGTCAGCTGGATTTACCTGCATTTCAGAGTTGATGTTCACTCTGGGACTCGAATCCAGTACTTTTCGCTCCAAACGCCATCACGTTATCCACTCGGCCACTGAGTCCTGATAGCCACTTGCTTGTGCAATGGGGTGAAGTTTAAATTCACTTGGTATTATTTGTTTGAATCTTCTCATTGATGTTTAACACTGCAACTAGTCAGTCTTTTATTGACATATGTGCATACTGTGCGTATTGCCTTATTATAGCCTCCATTCACAAGCATTATAAACAAAGATAGATAGTGGTTAGCAGTGGAATCCAGGACACGATGGCGTTTGAAGCGAAAGGTACTGGGTTCTAGTCCTAGAGTGAACATCAAGTCTGAGATACAGGTACATCCAGCTGATGAGTCCCGAATAGGAAAAAACATATATATATATTGATTGTTAAAAGTTAAATTTATTTCAGTAAAATAAGCTAATGGTTATCTGGAATTAATAGTGCAATAGATAATGAGCAGGTATTTTGAGTGAAAAGTATTGGCTTTGAATATCTATGTGAATATGGACACTAGGATGGAGGTATCTCGCGAAGATCAATACCCAAATAAGACTTCTAACCTACTATCCGACATTAGTTTGAAGTAATATTAATTACATAAAATGAAGTTGATATATATATATATATAATATGCACCTATAGTATTTTTCATACATTATTTAGAAAGTTGTCCAATATACTGGACATACTGTTTTGCATTTAGTATGACTTTAACTGTTATCATTACTGTGCATTTTAAATGATTGTTGTGAAACCTATCGTAAACTAAACAAATTGTCAATCTAAATCATAATCGTATGCTTATCAATGTCTCGAATGAAAATGAATTATACAGATTTTTGAGTAAGAAGTTATAACAGGATTGAGAAGATAATCACTGATTAGAAAATATTGAATATTCAATACATAATTATTTAATGCTTTAGATATATTCACTGTTTGATTCTGTCATATGTTATTGATGTTTATTGCGGAAAGATCACAAACTGCCATCAAGCTACTTTAAGATGGTCAGTGCTTTTTTTCAAGAATGTCATTTGGTGATGAAAAATATTAACATAACAAAAAATATTATTACTATCCAATAAGCCATTATCAGGACAGTCGTGCAAGGACTATCGCTAATTACGGTATTTCAATAGTAAGCAAATCCCTTTGATGAGTTCCAAGTAGGAAGAGATGTGCGTTGTTGATTCCATTACTAGCCACTATCCATGTCTACTTAAAATACTTGGAACTTAATAGAGATATCGAAGTGATCCGCACAGGATCCATATGCC